CTGCACATGACCACTAAGGCATCTGCTCTTTAGGTAACCCAAGAAAAGCTGCGGACTGCCCTGCCGTGTGGCCCATTTACAGCAGGGGTGGGAAACCATTTTGCGGCCAGGTGCCGTCTGGATACTTATGACATTATTCACAGGCCATACAAAATTATCGGTTATAGACTAGTCTGTTGTATGTTTATTAAATTTTTTTTGGACAGGCAGAGTGGATAGTGAGAGAGAAAAACAGAGAGAAAGGTCTTCCTTTTGCCGTTGGTTCACCCTCCAATGGCCACCATGGCTGGCGCGCTGCGGCCGGCGCACTGTGCTAATCCGAAGGCAGGAGCCAGGTACTTCTCCTGGTCTCCCATGGGGTGCAGGGCCCAAGCACTTGGGCCATCCTCCACTGCCTTCCCGGGCCACTGCAAAGAGCTGGCCTGGAAGAGGGCCAACAAGGACAGAATCAGGCGCCCCGACCAGGACTAGAACCTGGTGTGCCGGCACCGCTAGGTGGAGGATTAGCCTAGTGAGCCACGACGCCGGCCCTGTTTATTAAATTTTGAGTCCTGCCTGCATTTGCCTTACCAGAGCCAGACCAAATGATTCCACAGGCCGGTTGTTCCACACCCATGATTGACAGGGCAATTTCCATAGGAAAACTGTGTTTAGTGGTCAACAAAAGCTGTTGACCAACAAGGATTTCACGTAAGCAACGTAAGTATAGTTTTCTGGCCACAGGGCTGTTTGTGATAGAGGAATCTATGGAAATGTAGCCTTATTAAAAATAAGGTTCATTAAAAAATTGCCAGCTTCTGGCTGATTGTGCGAGAGAGGCCACAGCTGAATGCTGGCCCTGCCCTCACTGCCCGTCAGTCTGCGGGGGCATCTTGCTCACCGCAGGGAGAACAGCGTCCACGGTGGGCTGTGTGTGGTGTGAGTTACCCGTGGAGAACCTAAGTGTGAGGCACGAAGGGCTAAACACGCAGTCCAGCGCAGCCCCAGCAGCCCGACCCAGTCAGCATGGGGTTGATCCAAGAGCCGCGATGCTCTGTGCAAGTCGCTTTCACCAACAAAGAAAGTGTCTGGAGCGGTGGCACCTGCACTGGTCGTGGAGTTCGGTAATGAGGGCTGGGGGCAGTAGGCTTCTCTGAGCTGGTCCTGCCCTCTGTCAGGGAGGCAGTAGGCTATGGGAGACACACATCTCCTTACCCTGTCCTGCAGCCAAGCCTGGAAGGCAGGCACAGGGTTTCCTTTATGCATTTTCTCCTGGGAGGAACTTCTCTCCTGACAGCACGTTGGCAGGGCAGAGAAAGACGATGTTGCTTCCCTACACGGGTCCCTCTCCAGGGACAGAGGTGTAGCAGCCGTGATGGGGCCGCCTTCAGGGCCCAGGCCCAGGAGGCAGGTACTGCTGGGATGGACGCTGGGGGCGGCGTGGTCTGCAGGAAACGTGTCTTAGTGACCTCAGTGTGTGCTGTTCAAAGGACAACAACGGGACGCGCGATTTTCTTCTTCCCGTTCCCAGTTAGGGCCCTGTGGTCACATGTGAGTGACCTGCGGCCAGATCACGGGAGAAGCCCGGCGAGAGGGCCAGGGTGGGGGTGGTGTGCCTGCCCTTGTGCCTTCGGGAGTTTCACACCTGAGCAGCCTCAGTGCCAGGCCTTGGATGTCAGTCCAGCGTTGCCAGGAGGCCTAGAGCAGTCAGTGGCAGATGCAGGACAAAAGCTGAGGGCCAGCAGCCAAGTGCTTGTTTGCAACCTCCGTTTTCTCTAAGACACTACACCTTGGTGCTGTCAGTCAGACACGACTGAGCCGGCGGCACAGACGGGGGATGCGCCAGGCGTGCCTTGCCCTGTGTCTCCCACCCCTCGTGTGTCCTGGGCAGCCGGCTTCCCAGCTGAGCAGCCGTTGTGTGTGTTCACGAGCGTTGTCTCAGGGAGGACCCGGCGGCGATAGCTCGGGGCACACCCTTCCACACCAGGAGACGCCAGGACCCAGGCCATGTTGGCGGGGAGTGCCAGCTTCAGGGCCCCACTTGTCCACGGCTACCCTCAAGGGCCTAGAGTGCACGTGGTGCGTCCCAGGCCACCAGGCAGTCAGTGGTGATCATTTATTAAGTGACCAGTCCACCAGCTACTGTCAAGGACAGAGTGAATTGAATGGTCCTTCAGTGGACTGCAGGCGTGTGGCTTTTCCTAACCTTAACGCTAATTCCTTTGTAACCTAGACCCACAACGTCACTCCCTAGGACTTCAGTGTCTTCATCTGTGAAAGACGAGGTTTGGCCGCGACCTTTCTGTGTCAGTTGTAGGTAAATTGTCTGTGATCTTGTCAGGCAGATGAAATGTATAGGCGCACAGAGAAGTCGTGGCTGAAAGAAAGCAAACCACAGCTGCAGACATTCAGCACAAGGTTCTGAACTCACAGGGTAGCCACAAGCAGCTCAGGGGTAGGCCACCCTCTGAGTCCCAGCTCCAGATTCTTGGGGAAGAATCGGCCTCCAATCAGTTCTCCACGCGTGGACCAGAGACAGAGTTGGGCAGATGGCAGATGCCTCTCTCAAGAACAACCCTCCAACCCGAGGTCACAGCCGGGGGCGCACAGGGGAGGGGCTGCTTCAGAGCACGGCCAGGTGCCCTGTCCTGTGCAGGTACGGCTGCAGGGTAGAATCCTGCCCGTGCGCCCGTGTGCCAGCCCACACCAGCCTGCTCTGCAGTGCGGTCCTCAGTGCTACAGAGAACGGAAATGAAATCACCCGACTGACGATGAAGAATTATAACCTGAAGTTATAAACAGTCTAAGCACAAGGATTATCATTCCACTGATTATCAAGGAAATGAGCCTTGGCATTAAATAATCCAAAACACCTGATAATGCAAAGATGGCACATATTTGTCTGTGGGAATGCATTAATTTCTTTTAGAAACAGATTGAGCCTTTTAAGTGTTTGCTGGGGCTGATATTAAAATCAGCCTGCATTCCCTAAACACACATCAGTTGCTGGAACAGAGTGAGATCACATGTGTGCTTGGAGGCAAAGAGAAATCAGCCTGAGATTAGACCAGCTCTGAATTATTCATACATGGGTAATTGACAAATGATTGGCAACTGGCAGTTGACTGACAAATAACCTTTGCATGTACTTAAGCAACTTCCTGTGTGGAGACGTGGATCAGTGTCTGTCAGAGCCCACTGCTTCTGCCACCTGGGGAGACCGGGGATGGAGCCCTGGAGGAAGTAATGGGATCGAGGAGTCCTGTTGGAGGGTGCATCAGCTTGCTAATGCCACACGGCTTTGATGCCAGGAATCCACTGCCCAGGCCTTGGAGACGGGGCGGTGGGACTGCGTGTCTGCAGGCTCAGCTCTCTCTGATCCTGTGGGAGGGGTCTGTGGTCAGACCCCTGACTGCCCTGGGCTGGCAGGGTGGCAGGGGCCCTCTCCATCCCATCTCTTCACCTCCCATAGTGCATTTCTCTGTGTGCAGTCTCCCCCTTCGTTATGCACGTGGGCATCCTGGGTTAGGCCCACCCTGGGGATCTCATTGTGGTTGGTTTGTAACGAGGTCTGTAAAGACCACATCTTCCAATCGGGCCACACAGTGAGGTGCTGGGGGTTAGGGCCCCACTTTGTCGTTTTGGGAGGGACAAAACCCAGTCTGTCACGGAGGTAATTGTGAGTGACAGGTGTGACTGTGAGGTGTGTGCGCACTGCAGGACATGCGTGGTGTCGTCTGTACACCCTGCCACCGATTGAGTAGGACATGTCTGCCCCAAACTCCGACAGATATGTGAACCCTGATGTCTTGGTGTTCATGGTTGATGGATTCAAGGTGGAGGTTTGCTCTAATTATGAGGTGGGTCTCTTGGGAGCTGTGGGACATTGGGGTGGCTCGTTGGAGGGTTGCTCTTGAGAGAGGCTTCATTACTTGAGCTCAAGTACTGTGGATCCACTTTCTCCTCTTCCTGCAAACCATCAGATGGTTTTTCTGCACCTCCCAGGGCAGCTGTCCTCAGGTACAGGGCTACGGGGCTGTCTGATCCTGCCTCAGGTACAGGGCTACGGGGCTGTCTGATCCTGCCTCAGGTACAGGGCTACGGGGCTGTCTGATCCTGCCTCAGGTACAGGGCTACGGGGCTGCCTGATCCTGCCTCAGGTACAGGGCTACGGGGCTGTCTGATCCTGCCTCAGGTACAGGGCTACGGGGCTGTCTGATCCTGCCTCAGGTGCAGGGCTACGGGGCTGTCTGATCCTGCCTCAGGTGCAGGGCTACGGGGCTGTCTGATCCTGCCTCAGGTGCAGGGCTACGGGGCTGTCTGATCCTGCCTCAGGTACAGGGCTACGGGGCTGTCTGATCCTTAACATTATACAGTTTCCAAACTGGAAGCAGAATAAACTTTTTTTTTCCTCAAGAATCTCCTCTGGAGTTATTCTAGTTAAAGCAATAAAAAGTAGACTGATGCAGTATGTGGAAAGCAAACTTGCAGCTTAAGACATCAAAACAAACTTTTAGAATGGGACAAGGAAGTTCACATATAATTGACTGACTAATGAAGTATGCCGAATTCGTGTAGCTGCAGTATTCAGAAAAGGAGACCCCCCCCCGCCCCGGTATCGTGGGTACTGAGAACTTCCATTGCCTCTTGGGGCTGTTTGTCCTTGGTCCCCAGAGCTGGGTGTGCGAGGAGACATCCACGTGTGTCCCCGGGGATGACTACTAGTCCCCAGAGCTGGGTGTGTGGAGACACCCACGTGTGCCCCCGGGGGTGACTGCCCCTGGTCCCCAGAGCTGGGTATGTGGAGACACCCACATTTGCCCCCGGGGGTGACTGCCCCTGGTCCCCAGAGCTGCATGTGAGGCGACACCGACGTGTGCAGCAGTTGATGTCCGTGCTGCATCCTGTCCCCCCACATTGCTGTCTCCTCTGCTGACATAGGAATGCCCTTCCTGCCTCCTCTCGCCTCTCCTGTCCTCCTCTCCATCCTGTTCACCTTCACACTCAAACTTATTTTTCAGATTTGAGCCCTGGCGACTGCAGCTGCTGACAGGAGGCCTTCCATCCAGTCCCCCCTTCCCTCCGAGGACTCACCTGAGCGCCGTGAGCAGGTAGGTGTCTGCTGCTTTTCCTGACTCTGATTGCTTTAAAATTGAGGATCACGTTTTATTTATTCATATCTCCAAGGTTCAGCATCCTATTTGCAGAATGAATAAAATAGTCAAAATGTAATTCCAAAAATAATGTATTCTGCTAGAACACTAGGGATGCAAACATCTCATTCACTTAAGAGTCAGAGTATCGTCCTGGCTGGTGGAACCCCGCGCTCCAGCTGCCATGCGTGCCTGGCAGCTCACACGGGAGAACAGCGCACAGACGCTGCGTGCCACATCCGGGCCCTGGCTCTGCAGGTGCGCCTGAGGGAAGGCGGGTGAACTGCTCTGTGTTCTCAGGCGTGTTGTGTTCTCCAGAGTGAAGGAAAAGCCGAGAATCTTCCAAACCAGAGTTCCTCAGTGAGAAGGTCGGAGTTTGTGTCTGGGTGTTGGCGTGCAGCCTGACGTGTCCTCAGAAAGGCTCGGGAGAGGGGCGCTGGCCCAGTTCCTTGCGGGCCTGTCCTGGACCGTCGGGGTCCCCCGTCAGTGCCTGCAGTGACTCAGGTTAGGGCCAGGCTGTGAGTTTCGCTGTTGGTGAGATCACGCGGGCTTTCATGAGTTTCTGCAAGCCTACGGCTGCATGCAGCCTCAGTTCTCTGAAATGTTATCTCGATAGGAAATTTGTGGACACAGGCGCCGTCGGTCACAGGCAGAGCAATTGGGAGAAGCCATGTGGATACACCGGGGATTTGCTTCCTGGTCAGGGTCGTCCCTGAGACCTCGCAGTGTTTCCTGTGGCCCAGGCAAACCCACCGTGGCACGGTAACAGCGCCGTGACCTCCGGCGGAGGACACACAAGGGCAGGGACTTTCTGACTTGACGGTGTTTCAGTGCTGGCAACTGGTTTGTTGGTAAAGCTGTTCCGTACATGGTTGTCTCGCTGTGCATCCTCACTCTGAGTTCTTGTCCTATTAACATGATATTTTCCTACTTTTGAATTTAATTTTTTAATGAAACTATGCGTCTACTGTGATAAAATGGCTTTCAGATTGAGCCACACAGCAAACCCGGTGCATTGCTGCTTCTAACAGAAGCATCCAAATAAAGAGGTTTGAGGATTAAATTTACGTCAGGGAAATGCAGGCAGATTAAAAGCAGAGAGGGATCTAATAACATCAAGGAACATGGAATTTATGACACGGTTCATAAAATGGGAAGGAAGAGTAGATTATACAGTGTGTGTGTGTGTGTGTGTGTGTGTGTAAACTTCCACACAGGAAAGAAAATGTGTAATTTGGTGCATTTCACTTGGAGTAAAGATCTCGAATTCCATTCCTTCTTTTGTTTTTAAGATCTGTTTGTTTGTTTGGATGGCCGAGTGACAGATAGAAAGATGTTCTGTCTACTGGTTCACTCCACCAGCCCGTGCGGGTGCGCGCTGAAGCCAGGAGTCAGAACTCCATCTGTGTCTCCCATGTGGGTGGCAGGGGCCCAAGGCATTGGCGTCTTCTCCTGCTCCCCCAAGTCCATGTGCAGGGAGCTGGATCAGAAACAAGAGCACTGGGGCTCAAACCAGCGCTCCGATGTGGGATGCCGACATGGCAAGTGGTGCCCTAACCTGCTGCACCACAGCGCTGGCCCCAGCTCTGTTCATTCTGATGCAGATGCCAGAGCAGCACTGTCTTCCCTGTGTGTGCTCCACTCTGTGTGTGTGCTCTCATGTCTGTGTGTGTGTGCTCATGTCTGTGTGTGTGTGCTCATGTCTGTGTGTGTGTGCTCATGTCTGTGTGTGTGTGTGTGTGTGTGTGCTCACTGTCTTCCATGACTGGGTAACTAACATTCCCCTCTGTGTGTGTGTGTGCATATGTGTGTGTCACTCTGTGTGTGCGTTCATGTGTATGTGTGTACACCTGTTGCAGTTGATTTCTCAACAATGTTGCAGTGGATTCCTTTCTGAGAGGAGGAGCGTGGTGGGGGCTAGAGGCGCGGAGCCACCACACAGACCCTGGGAGGCGGGTGAAAGCAGGCGTGAGGCAAGCAGCCCACAGACTTGTTTATTTCAGTTGCTACAACAGCTTATATAGCCAAGAGCAGCCAATCCGGTCAAGGGGCGGTCTATGCCCCAACCAATCACAGCCTGTTGCCAGGCAGTTTGCAAAGCCATCCAGTCACAGCCTGTTGACAGTCAGGCTCTTGTTGGCAGGCAGTTTCTGAAACCATCCAATCATGGCATGCTGTCAGTCAGGCTCTGTTGTCATGTGGTTTCCTCTGTTGTCATGTGGTTTCCGAAGCCATCCAATCACGGCCTGTTGCCAGGCAGTTTCTGTTGTCAGTGGCCATCTTGGCATGACCTTTTCACCTCAGTGGCCATCTTGGCATGAACTTCTCACCTCATTCCACCACATAGACCCACTGTTTTCTATGACTTGGTAACATTCACCTGTGTGTGTGTGCTCATGTATATGTGTGTGTGTGCTCATGTGTTTGTGTGTACTTATGTATGTGTGTGTGCATCCACTGATTGCTATGACTGGGTAACACTCCCTTGTGTGTCTGTGTGTGTGTGTGCTCATGTCTATGTGTGTGTGTGTGTGCTTATGTCTGTGTATGTGCTCAGGTCTATGTGTGTGTATGTGTGTTCATGTGTGTATGTGTGTTCATGTGTGTGTGTGCTCATGTCTGTGTGTGTGCTTATGTCTGTGTATGTGCTCATGTCTATGTGTGTTTATGTATGTTCATGTGTGTATGTGTGTTCATATGTGTGTGCTCATGTCTATGTGTGTATGTGTGTTCAGGTGTGTGTTCATGTGTGTATGTGTGTTCATGTGCATATGTGTGTTCACGTGTGTGCTCATGTCTATGTGTGTTCATGTGTGTATGTGTGTTCATGTGCATATGTGTGTTCACGTGTGTGCTCATGTCTATGTGTGTTCATGTGTGTATGTGTGTTCATGTGCATATGTGTGTTCACGTGTGTGCTCGTGTCTATGTGTGTTCATGTGTGTATGTGTGTCCGTGTGTGTGTGTGTGTGCTCATGTCTATGTGTGTGCTTCCTTTGCCCATTCCTTTACCCATTTCCATGCCTCCTTTACCCATTTGGCCATTCACAGGCGTCCAGTTGATCCTTTACCTCTGCTACTGTAGTAGCATTGCAGTAAACGTGGGGTGCAGGTAGCTCTTCCGTGTGCTGGTTTCATTTCCTGTGGACACGCTCTCAGAAGTGGGATAGCTGCACCAGTGTGTTTTATGGTAAGACTGCAGGTAAAAGGGAGTATTTACAACGTACAGACTTGACAGTCTCAGGAAGATAAACAATAAATGCCAGAGAAGACCATGCAGTTTTTGTCTCCAGTACAGATTTTTCTTAAACTTGACTGAGATCTGTAGTGACAGAGACAGACTGAGAGACCAGGTCATCAGCAGCTGTGCGGAAGTAACTGGGGCAGGAGCGACGAACAGTGTCTTCTCTTGAATTATTCCATGGAAGGAAGCCGCGGGGCAGGTGCCCGCCAAGAGCTTGTCTGAGTGGGAAATGCTCCCTTTGACACAGCAACACCGTCTTAGACACTGAACATGAGTACAGACGGCAGGGGGTGACGTTCTCTTGAATTGGGAATGATGAAGCCACTCTAAGCGTCGCAGTCCATGCACTGCCCCACGCTGGCTCAGCTCCCAAAGCACCTGCTGTAATGTGAACTGAGTACCAAGTGACATAGGCACATGACAGGTTCTCTCTTCTTAAAACCAGTGGGGCCAGCAGGGTATTCCTTAGACCTGTTCTGAGTGTTGTAGAATGTTGTGCTTGAAGCCCAGGTGCAGACTGACGGCTCCGAGAATGCAGGTGACCACCAGGCCGGTGGACGATGGCAGGAAACTGGGAAGGCTGCCCTTGGAGAGCCCGGGGACTGAGTGCTGTCACTCAGTGACCTCACCTCTGCTGTCCTCACCTGTAAGGCGAGAAGGTTCAGGTGGATAAAAACGATGCCCCCAGTAGAGGGCACTCAGCCTCACTGCAGGTGTTGAGGTGCAGGCTCCAGTGGGGGGCATGGAGCTGGGGAAGAGAGCCTGCTCCTGGGTGTCCAAGGGTCAAGTCACCTCCAGCCGACTTCTGACCGCTCTGCACAGAGCAGCGGCATGGCCAGGAGGGGATGCCGCGAGAGACCTGTGCCCAGGCTCCTGGCCTCTGAGTGGGGCCCTCGCGGTCCCTTCCCAGTAGGCTGAGCTGAGGATGCCATGGGGCAAGAAGGGTGAAGCCCAGCTCACGCTCACTTTTCCCTTGTTCTTTAACTGGAGCACAGAAGAGTCGAGGTGGAAGCTAATGGCATTTGGACTAGGCGCACCTGTGTTGTGTGTGCGACAGTGTGGTGCCGCTGAACTCTGCAGGTAGCTGTGACCTCAGCCTGCGATTCCTGGGTCAGCATGGGAGCCACTGTGGTCCCAGCACCTAGATCAGCCTGCATTGCAAGACTCTTTTCTAAATGGTGTTTGTGAAGTTTCCAGGGCAGCATTTTTCTGAGGTTTAAACTTCTTTCATGTGATTTTAAACATGAAAATAGTCAAACGTCATCCATCATTTATTTTCCCTTGCTTGGGGCCATGTGAAATCACACACACATGAAAACCCTGGAAAGTAGCTTGAATTGACACCTGTCACTCACCACAGCCACCGCGTCACTGCGCCCGGCACCGTGTTGATTACCAGTGCCCTCGGTGCCAGCGAAGGCCAGCGGGTTCTGAACACAGCCCTTCGACATGTCGGCCTTAAAGGTTAATTTGGCCTTCATTACCCTATTTTTAAATTAGAGTTCATTTTCATACTGAAGTTATTCTTGCCTTGATTGTGTAGCATAATGCATCCATTCTCATAAATGAAGAAGCTTTCTTATTTTTAAAATGTTAGAAATGTGAGATCGACCAAGAGATCACAGGGGAGGGCAGAGAACACTTGCGCTGTGCTGGCCATCTGTCGTTCTGGGAGCGGTCGTCAGGAAGGATCTGCCAAGCAGTCAGGCTAACA